ATCATACTTAATTGAAAATAAAAAAAATTATATATCATAATTATAATATCATTTTTATAAATCTTATTTATCCGTAATAACAAAAATTATCATACTTAATTGAAAATATAGATAAAGTAACTAATTTAAAAAAAAAAATAGACAATTTTTATATATCATAATTAAAATATAATTTTTATTACTTATACTTATTATACTTATCTAAAATAACTTCTTGAAAAAATATTAAAGAGAGTATATATATATATAATACCTTTAAAAAAATATCAAAACTTTGATTATATACCATAAATATTTTCATAACAATTTTAACTTAATAACACAAAAAAAACGTTATTTATAATAATTCAATAAATCACACTTAATTCTAAATAATTATTATAACCCATTAGAGTCAATGTTAGTGATCTTCTTTAAAGTCAGTAGAGTAATCTTGTTAAATTTTTTTGGTATAATTTGTGGTGTAATAATTAATATTTTGATGTGTTTTATGATTTTTTTATTTCTCATCTCTTCTGTCTTTTTTTTTTTAAGAATATCACTATTTTTAATATATATTATTTTTAATTTATAATTTAAAAAATACGCTAAAAAAAAATATTATTGTTTTTACGTGACTGTATTGTCCGACTACGATGCTTCCATATATTCCTTTACAAGCGCGTGTTTGTACCTTTCAAACATAACCCTCGTGCTGCTACCTCATTGGTGGTGGTGAAGAGTTCAATTCTTAACAAAGACTTAGTTTACGTGACATGCAAGAGATGGCAACGAAAAATATCTTATCTCTACTCTGACGTTATCGGATTAAATCACTGCCACTGGAGGATTTGAACTCCTATATCTGGGAGTGTTTTAAAAATACTTGTTGTTTTTTAAAAATTAAACTGATATTTATTTTAGTGTTTTAAAATAATTTTAATGTAATAATGTAAAAAAATAAAAATAATTCTTCTAGTATATTTCAAAATAAAAATTACTTTAAAAAATTATACCACACTATAATATCAAACTCATATTATACAAAAAATTTATTGATTTTCGCATTAATAACTAACTAAATTAATTAATTAAATTATCCAAAATATTTATAAAAAGAAACTTGAAATTAATCACACCAAAAATTTTATTTTTTAAAAACTCACTGAATAATTTCAGTTAAAAACTTCCGTTGGATTATGTTTTTATTTTAGATTTTAAAAACCAAAAAACTAGCATGAATTCAATCAAATCATATAAAAAATAACACAACTAAAAATCTATTAATTCAAATAAAACTTAACTTTAATAAATATAAAATCAAAATAAATATAATAATTGATTTAGTTTTTTATTCGGTTCATCTCTATAATTTTTTTTTGAAAACAATGTTATTGTGGTATATATTTTTTAAATGACTAAGGAAAGAGCATAAATTGTGTCATTGGGGGAAAGAATGCAAATTGCAAAAGGGATGTCCTTTTAATGGCTGAACAATAATCGAATCTAGAAGATTCTAGTAAACACGCCCCATTCATCCAAAATTGGGACTGTAAATTAGAAAATTATGATCGGTCGTGTCCTGTGGGTCAGTTTGGGCCCTTCTTAAAAAGCAACAATTTCATGCTAATTCATTATACCTAATATAGGTGTAAAATCCGGCTCCATTAGTGTCCCGAATTAAAATTTAAATTATAAATTAAATAAATTAATTTAAATATTAAAATAATATCATTTGACTTTTTTATTATAAAAATCAAAATAAATATTATTATCATTTTTTATTAAATTTAATATAAAACTAGACCTAAATTAGATATGAATTAAATCAAGTAGAGTAGGATTTAATAACAATTCACAAATAAAATATAATTTATTTAAATTTTTAAGTATCTACTTATTTTTATTATTAAAAATATAAAACATCACTATTTATTCACATTACAACACAAATTGATTTTTTTAATAAATAAAATATACTATATAAATGTTTTTTTATTCTATAAATATTTCATGAAAACAATATTATCAAACACGCATTTACTGCACAACAATTTCATAAACTTAAAAATAAATTTGCTAGAAAATTGTAATAAAAAGTACAAACGCTTTGATATATTTGTAAGCTACTCATCAACAGAGATATTTTAAGGTAATCCAAAGGAAGATTCATGGCAGTCAGGATAACGAAAGACTACCTTTTTTTTTTAATAGGATAATTAATTTGATTTTTTTTATATTTTTTAATCCAAACTGTGCACAGTAACTCCACAAAACCAAGCCCTGTTCCGAGACTTCTGGGCTGCAACCTTGGAAAATCCTTCCTCAGAAATGGCCTCTAATGAATTTCTTCTCTCATCATGGATTATCCTTTGCTAAACTATGTCTATTTTTGTGGGCGGGTGAAAAACTTGATATATATATATATATATATATTAAAAATTTTTAAAAAAATTGAATTAAATAATACTTGATTTGATTTTTTTTCACAATAACATTGTTATAACTTTTTTTCTTATCTCGAAATATCATCATTTTTTTAGGTTGATATAGATATTCAAGCTTACGTATATCACGATTCATGTAAATCTTCAGTGATTATTATATAAGCAACTAAGGACTCGAACCTGTAGGTTGATATAGATATTCAAGTCAGTTTATGTATATCACGGTTTATGTAAATCTTTAGTGATCAGTATATAAGCAACTAAGGACTCGAACCTGAAAATACAAAGAAAACAAACTCCTTAATTTCAAGTTTTTATCACCTGACTACCATCTACATAGTTGAAACAACACCATTTTACTTGATCATGATTAAGACAATGTTTGATATAACAATTATAAAATGTTTTTGAAATTTTTTAGTTTTTATTTTATTTTAAAATAATATATTTTTTATATTTTTAGATTATTTTAATATGTTAATGTTAAAAATATTTTTTAAAAAAATAAAAAAAATATTATTTTAATATATTTTAAACTATAGTATACCAAAATTACCTTTAATCCAGTCAATTTGCAGCTAGAACCTTAATCGTGTCACAGGTGATGACGTGTTTAATAGGTTTTCTAGAAAACACTAGTGGCGTAGCAGGTGTGGCCTCGTTTTCAAACCTGGGCTTTGGGATTTTAAATTGATAGATCCGCCAATAGGAGCCTAAAGTACATTTTTCTTAATTTTTTTAGTTGTAACTTAGTCCCTATAGTTTTTAAGATTTACCTTAGACTTCTGTTCAATTTCATGTTTTTGTTTCTTCAACCTCCTTTTCTTTTTTTATGAAATAGAAAGAAAATGGAAAAAAGGAAGCACTAAATTTGAGGACGAAACTGATCACGATCAAGGCTAGTCAAAGGTTTATGTAGTGATTTTTGATCCCATAAGGACTATTCAATGAGTTTTTTAACAAATTACAGGGACTAAGTTGAAACTAAAAACATGTTTTGCATAGCCTTTCTAACACTATTTGAAAAAATATAATAAATTTTTATATATTTTTAAATCATTTGAATGTGTTAATATTACAAATAATTTTTTTTAAATATTATTTTTAAATAAAAAATACTTTTTAAAACAATTATTATTATAATATTAAATACATTGTAACTAATTACATGAAATTACATGGTATAATTTAATTAAAAATTCAAATGACTTGTAATTTAGTCCTTGATTTTATTTCATAATATCATTCTTTTGATATTCCTTTAAAAAAATATATTAATCTAATTTAACCTACCTCGGTCATAATCAAAACCTTGCTTCGAAATAACCGGAGTGAAGAATAGATGGTGTCTGTTAGCATTGCCATCGAAGCATAATTTGACTAAGGAAAGATTATAAATTGTCTCATTAGCAAAAAAAATTGCTCTTTATTTCAAGGTCTTAGAAAGGCTGGCCTGTAATACAGTGCATGAACAATAATTGAATCTAGAAGATTCTAACAAGAATGACCCATAGTTTTAATTTGGTCTAAGCAATTTAATTAGATTTAATTGGGTTAATTCTCACAGTAAAAATATAATTGTAGATTGTGTTAGATTGATCAGAACTTTAAACTGGATCATATGTCAGAGGAAGGTTTAATTTGGTCCCTATAGTTTTTAAGATTTTACTTAGTCTTTCTTCAATCTCATGTTTTTAACATGTTTGTTTTAGAAGAAAATGGAAAAAAAGGAGCCCTAGATTTGAGGATGAGACTGGTCACTGATCAAGGCTAGTCAAAGGGTTACGTAATAATGTTTTATCCCGCAAGGATTACTCGAATTTTTATTTGTATTTTTTCGACAAAAAATTACAAACGTGATAAAACTCCCTTTTATTATGAAGCTTGTGCTGTCTATGCATCCAACACGAGCAGCGACAAGAAGAACCAGCCACAGCTTATTCATCTGCACTGCAAACACAGATAGCATCGTGAGACATGGAGAATGGAACAAAGAAATGGGGTTTTCAGGCAAAGAAAGGCATGAACTCAACAGCATCAATATCAGTTCGTGGAGTTCTTAACCGCTTAGCTGAAAATCTGAACAAAGAAGACAAAAGAGAAGTTATACCACTGGCTCATGGTGACCCTTCTGCCTTCCCTTGCTTCAGGACTACACCTGTGGCTGATGAGGCTATTTTTGATGCTGTACGATCTGCTAAGAACAATCATTATGCTCCAACTGCTGGTCTCCTTCCTGCTAGGAGGTATCTACTTTGAATTATTTTGTGTGTGTAGATTTTTATGTTCTCTGTCTTGAAAATTTCTCCGTGTTGATAATTTCCACTGAAGCAGCTTTGATTTGTGGTTTATGTTAAATTTGCATCAATATTGTGGTGATGAAGTTTTATTGGACATGAAGCGATTAAGCTTGGCATGCATCCTGTAGGAACCTCAGACACCGTGTCTTCAATCAATCAATCAATCAATCAATATACTCTCCTTAATTGTAGGCTAGAATATTCAAATATACTCTGAATTGAAAGTGATTTTGAATTCTTTATTATAGAGCTGCTGCAGATTACCTTAACCGTGACCTCCCATACAAGTTATCACCAGATGATGTTTTTCTCACACTTGGTTGCCTACAAGCAATTGAAATTGCAGTAACAGTCTTGGCTGCTATACCTGGTGCCAATGTTTTGCTTCCAAGACCAGGTTTCCCATACTATGAAGCTTGTGCTGCACATTGTTGTCTTGATGTCCGGCATTTTGATCTTCTCCCAGAAAAAGGATGGGAGGTTGATCTTGAAGCTGTTGAAGCTCTGGCAGATGAGAACACGGTTGCAATGGTTATTATAAATCCTGGCAATCCTTGTGGAAGTGTCTACAGCTATCAACACTTGGAAAAGGTGTCATAAACTATATCTCTTCCTTCCCATCTTTTAATCTGCATTAGCTGGAGCGCGTGGTTATGCTAGCCCCCTTGGAGTAATGTTTTTTGTTCAATTTCAGGTTGCCGAGACAGCAAGAAAGCTTGGAATTATGGTGATTTCTGATGAAGTATATGGCCACTTGACATTTGGGGGTACTCCATTTGTGCCGATGGGAGTCTTTGCGTCAACTGTGCCTGTCCTTACACTTGGATCTATATCGAAAAGATGGATTGTTCCCGGCTGGCGAATGGGTTGGCTTGTCACAAATGATCCCAATGGCATCCTTCGAGATTCTGGGGTTGGCTCCCTGTCCCTCTCTCAAAGTAGATGCTTTGACGTTGGTTTTTTTTTTTTTTTTAAATTCTGTGGGAACTGACTTGTTATCCCATCATGGTTCAAAGCCTTCTGTTCTTTTTAATGATGACATCTATGTCTGCATTAATATGGACTTGTAATCTTGGCTTCTTAACATATTTATTTGTTCTTCCTAGATTGTTGCGTCAATCAAGGACTCCCTCAATATCTGTTCGGATCCTCCGACTTTCATTCAGGTTTGTAATTCATGATACTTTTCCTGAAGAGCATAGTGTTGGTTTCCAGCTTAGAATCTCACTGATATAATGAATCCTTGATATGTGTCAGGCTGCAGTTCCTCAAATCATTGAAAATACAAAGGATGATTTCTTTTCGAAAATTAATAACATACTGGGAGAGGCTGCAGACATATGCTATAGAAAAATACAGGACATCCCTTGCATCATTTGCCCTCATAAACCAGAAGGTTCTATGTTTGTAATGGTGAGCGCATCACCTTTTCATCACATTTCTTTTCCTTTATATGATGAAGAAGATGGTGCTTTAATAATTAAAAACATTAACTCTTTTTCAGGTAAAATTGAATTTGACTCTGTTGGAAGGCATCGATGATGATGTGGACTTCTGTCTTAAGCTGGCTAAAGAGGAATCAGTCATGGTACTCCCAGGTAATCAAGGCCAATGGCACAAAGTTTCTGATGTGGGGTGGGCTATATTGATGACATGTGAGCTTTATAGACTTTACAAGCTTAAAATGTGAACTCTAAATGTGTTCATTCTTGGTGTCCTTGTCGGATTCATGTGGCGTTATCTAACCATTTAAGTTTTAATTTGAACATTGCAGTTCATTGATGATTGATCAATTCAACCATCGACACTCATCCTTACGACATTGTATTCCATCTTGCAGGAATTACTGTAGGAATGAAGAATTGTCTTCGCATAACCTTCGCTGTTGAGCCTTCAGCACTTGAAGATGGCCTTGAGAGGCTGAAAGTCTTCTGCCAAAGGCATGCCAAGAAGCAGTAAGATTTCATCTAAAGTATCAAGCAGCGAAGAGAATCAATAGTTGCTCGTTGATTCCCATGCTCCAATGTTAGATTTACTAGCTATTCTGTCAATAAAAACAGGCTGTGGAGAAGTACAACTTCTCGTCGGATCTCCAAGGTGTAATGGCCTGTCAGAAAATTAGATCTCTTAAGCTATATTGTGAAGTGATTTTCTTGCCTCAAAAAACCTTTTGACATTACATTTACCTGTCTATTTGGGCCGAGACTAATCCCATTTCTAGCCGAGAGCGTGGAGGTGAAAGCCCTCCCAACAAGTACACTTTTAAAGGGGCAGTGGTAGTATTTGTGTGCCTAATACTTTGCTGCGTAATGCTTTGGTATTTTGTTTGGAAATAAATTAAAGTTTTTTTTTATTTTTGATATCAATATTTAAAAATTATAAAAAAAACATAAAAATTATTTATTTAATATTTTTAAAAATATCTAAAAATAAAACCAATCTCAATCTCGAACACACTTTAAACTCAATGAAAAAAAGATGTACATTTTTTAAAATCTTTCTATTTTTAAAAATCAAGGTTTTTGATGAAGAACTTAATTTTACAAAATAACAAACCGGCTATATATTAAAAAAGAAGAAGTGAAAACTGATTATAGTAGAAATTTTTTTTAATTTTTTTTTCAAATAAGCTATAAGCAAATATAATATTGATCTCAACAAGTAGAAACTAATTCAAGAATATATTTAATTTATATAAAAAAAGAGTTGCTGTCCGTTTACTTTATATATAGGTTAGGAAAATAATTTTGGTTAGGCAAGATTGATGCAAACTCTTATGGTTTAGAAAGTCTTCGAATTAAACTTTGATTCTTTTCAATGGTATTTTAATCATAAAATAACATTTCTATGAGTTTGTATTTGTTTTTGCCACAAAGCCTTCCCAAGAACAAATTAACAATTCGGCGATTTCATGAGAAATCTTCGATCACGTGACGTTACTGCAAAAATCTTGTCAAAAACAAATATTCAACCATCTCCTTGCCCGTTGGTTTTGAACGCATGGAGGTTTATGCACATTAAATAATTAATGGAGAATGTCTTAAGTCTAAACTATCAACATCTTTGCATGTAATCACTTCTCTTTTTTTTTTTTTGTGTTTTTTTGGAAAACATTAAAAGAAATGATTTACTTGTTCTGAAAATAGTTATGAAGTTCAGATCTATTTAGAAGTGTAGTCGTTGTTTTTTTTTAAATATTTTTTTTATTTTAAAATATATTAAAATAATATTTTTTTATTTTAAAAAAATCAGTTTTAAAATTAACTAATCATCAAAATAATCTAAAAAATAAAAAATATATTAATTTTTTTAAAATATAGGTTCATCTGTATTTCCAAACGTTCTTTTTATTTTGGATGCAGCCAACCCAAAATATTGATTGTAATTTTTTATTTTATTTTATTTTTTAAAATTTAAATTCTTCCATTGACACGGCCATGCTAGAGCAGAATTTTTTATTTTATTTTATTTTTTAAAAAATAAATTCTTCCATTGACACAGCCATGCTAGAGCTGGAGTCACGAGCTAATGAGTTGAAATGTCAAGCGGGATTTTTCAACATTGCTTGTAGGTATAGTCTTGATTGGATTTATGATTTATTTTTCATTTAAATTAATCCATAATGTATTAATGATTATCAATTAGATTCTTCCATAATTTATAGGGTGCTCTATAGGTATCATAACATGAGATACCATGAACAAATACATCAATCCACTACGTGTTAATTGAACGTGAAGTTTGACCAAATTAAGTCTGTGGTTTTTTTTTTAAATGAATATTTTTATTTTTTAAAAAATAAAATTAGTTTTATTTAAAATTTATTCCAATAAATATTTTTTTTAAGGATTGAAATTATAATGTTAATCTTGTAGAAAAATAACAATATTTTAACTGATATTTTTTTTAAGGATTGAAATTATAATATTAATATAATATTTTAACGGTTAAATCAACACTTTATTAATATCTGTGATCATTTTTTTTTTTATTTTTTTTAACACAACACTTTATTAATATCTGTGATCATTTATTTATTTATTTAAAAAAAAATAAATTTAGAAAGATAATTAATAAGATGTTATTTATTATTATTCTAAAAATATTATAAAATTTCTCAGTCACTGGATTAACTTACAATTCTTTTTTTTTTTTTAACATACTAGATTTTACATGATCCAATCTAACAAGACTTGACAATAATACAAATTACAATAAATGCAAAACTCAAATTATAAAGCCAACATGAATTTCGTCAAAAATAGAAAAATAAAAATAAAGACATAAAAAATAAATTTATCTATTTCCTTATTAAAAAAAAACCATATTCTATTAGGTTTTATTTGGTGCAAAAATGGGCATCAGAATTAATGAAAAAGAAAATAAATTGTGGGCTCCACTCCTAGAATCCAATGAATATTACCACCCACATGCGTGCAGGCTATATATTAATACGACAGCAACGTCGGCAGCATCAGCCACCCCCTTGCCCGCTTCGAAGACAACCTCAAGAAACCCCACAGGCCGCAACAACATTTTTGTAAGAGATGGAAAACGGATCAAAGAAATGGGGTTTTCGAGCAAACAAGAGCCTCAGCACATCATCAGCAGTCACAGTCCGTGGAGTTCTTAATGTCTTACTGGACAATCTCAACAAAGAAGATACTAGACAACTCATACCATTAGCCCATGGCGACCCTTCTGCTTTTCCTTGTTTTCGTACAACAACTGTGGCCGACGAGGCTGTTGTTGACGCTGTGAGATCTGCCAAGTACAACCATTATGCCCCAACTGTTGGTCTTCTTCCTGCTAGGAGGTAACCCAATCACTTTGACAGATTCCTGTGGAGTCAGTTTCTTTTCTTTCTTTTTATTTTGTGGGGGATCTTTCAGGGTATTTTTATGCGGCCCAAAAGATCAATGAATTTTCATCATTTTTAATTTTTCATTGCTATGATAGGATCATGGAAATATAATTAATATTGGTATATTACAAGCTTCTGTTTTTGCTACATTTCCTTTTCCCGGCATTGATTGTTGAACATCATTTACTACAAGCTTCATTTGCCTTTTGCTAGATTATGTGGTGGTATGAATCTTAGTGTTTCTCTTGTGCTACTCATCATCTTGCTTTTGCTCATGGTTATAAAACCTTTCAGGCTTTTCAGGATTTATGACCCGCTGACCTGAGATGGTCTAGGTATCATGTTAAACTTGATTTTTTTAAAGCCAAAACGACATTATTTCAATGTTTATTTAGTCATTTTTTATAAATAGTGATATCGTTTTGTTAAAAATTATGTGGGGTCTGCTGTTACCGAGTCAATCACGTCTTTTGTATTGAATGTTTTTGAAAAGGACAATGGAGGATTCTCATTGAAATCGAGCTGCTAATTATTTATGTCAAAAATATCTTTAAGTTATTATTTTATTGCGGTGATGCTTGCTTCTAGGCTTTGAGTACTTGTTCATTGTTGTACTTCAGTCTTTTCTTTGTTTTTATGCATTGATTTTGTAGCAGATCGAGACATGAAGGTAAGAAGGTGCTTCACGGGGTTCTGGCAAACTTTAAATGAAAAAAATGGAGAATCTTACTTTAATTATTTTTCTATTGCTGGCCTACCTAACATTTTTTCGTTTCTACATGGGAGTTTTACTGCTCCATGCAACAATATGTTAGATCGTCTCTTTAGGCATCTGCAAAAGCTCAAGTACAGAGCAGGCAACCTCTACTATTTGACATGAATGCTTTGCCTACCATAAGCAGCACAACACTGGTTTGTGGCTTCAACTCCCTGTGAACTATAGAGGAAAAAAAGGGCGAGACCATCTAAGGACTTTTCAGTCATAGAAAACTAGTGGCCCCACATCCGGCACCCACCAGTTTGTGGGGGGCCACCAACCAGGTTAGAAATGCTTAAGACCATTGTTGATGTGCATGCTTGCTAGAAGGAGGATCTTGAAGTCTTTATTAGGGTGTCGTCTTCTAAAACTATGATAAAATCAGGTGCACTATCCCGGTCACTTATAGTTAATCGGTGAGCTGACTAGCAGGAGGATAGAATATTAGGCCATTAGAGGACTTGCATTCTGCTCATCCTACGTAGCCTGACATTTTTATGGTCAACAAAGTAAAACCTGCCATTTTCCTTTTGTCTTCATGTTCCTTCAATAGTTTAATTGGTTCAAGAAAATTGATGAACAAATTTTATCAAACTTCAATGGAATTGCAGTGTCCACTGTGGAGCTTTGATGGCTTTTCCACTGTGGAGCTTTGATGGCTTTTCCGATTTGTATTTCTTAGTGTTTTTACATTTTCTATGCGTAGCTCTATTTTTCATACCTTTATCTTTGTTTTCTTTTAGACATGTAACTACTCCGATATGTAACATAAATCACACAAGATGGAAACGTATTTTGTTAGCGGGAAGAGATAAAAACATAAAAATAAATTGTTTTCGAAATAATTTTATGTTCTTTCATAACACGAAAGCAAAGAGACATGTCCACTCTGTTCCAACTATCTCCGTCTCTTTTGATGTTAGATAATAACCAAACATTATCCAAGTAAACAACTGCAAGTTTTTGTTCCAAGACTCAGTCGTATTACAAGCTTAAATTCTAACAACAATATCGTAATGCTATCTGTATTGTTTTGATAAATGTGTTTCTCTGGTAATACACTATCAAATTTTAACTTCCTCTTTTTAAACAATTTGCAATTTTGCATCTGATTCTGTCAAAGGCTTTTGTGAACGTGAAGCATATGTTGATCATTACCCGAAAATTGTTTATTAGTCTAAAATATTATGTTTGGCCTTTTTCGTGAGCGCTGTAAACAAGTTGATACCATGTTCTTTATTATATTCTACTTGGAGTTTCCGAATTTACTGAAGAGGTTAGAAATGATGCTATTCATTGAATTATAATAGTGGCCTTCGTTTAATCAAGTGGTTGTAAAAGCAAACGGTTACTGAAATCCTAAGAAGCAAGACTCCTTGAAGGGCATTTCGTAATTGCCTGATTGAATGTAATTTTGTACTCTCTCACAGGAGTGTTGCAGATTACCTTAATCGTGATCTCCCATACAAGTTATCACCAGATGATGTTTTTCTTACACTTGGTTGCACACAAGCAATTGAAATCACAATAACTGTACTTGCTCGACCTGGTGCCAACATTTTGCTTCCAAGACCTGGATTTCCATACTATGAAGCTCGGGCTGCACATAGTCATCTCGAAGCTCGCCATTTTGATCTTATCCCAGAAAAGGGCTGGGAGGTTGATCTTG